GTGTGTGTGTTGGTGTTTGTTCGATGTGGGTTAAATCTGTGTCAGCATTTCTGCACAATGTGGAGGCATTATATGTTGGAGGAAATAAGATGTCTCTTCTCATTTTAGTTGCAGTGGAATTTGTTTTTTTGTGTTTTTTGGACCATGTGCATCTGCATCACGTTGAACAAAGACTTTGAATGCTGTCTGGGGCTAATGGCTGGTGTTTTATTTGTGGAGGTGGGGGGGGGTCTGCATGCATAGACAACCATTGTTGGGTGCTCCTCAGCAGGTTCACTCCCGTAGTAATGGGGAGGAGAAGATGACCTGCCATGACTCTCTGGTGTATACTGAAGCCAGGAAGAAAAGGGTGCGAGTAAATGAAGGAGGAGTTGTAGTAGACTGGGCTGTTAAGGAGGCGGACAGACAGATCTGAGTTCACACAGGCGTACTTAACCCCAACTCATAGCTTTTCTTTCTCCATTTGTATTTGTCTTTACTTTAACCACCACCGTTTGTGCGGTAGGCTGCATGTGGGTTAGCACTTGACTAAAAGTGATGGAAGAGATTATAAAAATACAGATTAGTTAGGTTTGATCCTACATTAATGTAATGTTCCCCCCCCCCCCCCGGTCTGGTACAGTCATCGTTTGTATACGCCGAGCTGACAGTGACCGACTGTTCTGCATAAATTGTGACTAAAAGAAAACAAATTAACATTATGCTGCCTTCAGGTGTCTGTTGGGAATACCAGATTTACAAGCGGGGCACTCATAAACAACATTACCAAAGGGGGGGGGAAATACAGAAACAGTCAGGATTTTCTCTTATCTCCACACTGCCAGCATCTGTTTCCCCTATTATGAATGTATCACCACCACCACATTAAATTCCTCTGGTTTGTTTCCCATTTGTGTGTATCTGTGCTAAAAAAAAGTAGGCTAACTGTAGCGTGGTTGTGAAGGGCCAGTCTGGGTGAAATTGTTTTTCTCAAACGCCCCAGTCTGCCTCCGGCCTGTTGGGGTATAAAATATCTTTGGTCAGACCTAATTACATGCAGCCGTTGTCTGTGTGAGGTCTCCACGAGCAGAGATACAGAATAGATGCTTTTACTCAGAGCTCTGAATTGTTTTAGCATGAATGGCTTATCTGGGCAGACAAGGGTTAACAACAGCCAGGGTAGCGAGTGGGGGGATGGGCAGAAGAGGCAACTAAAGGGGCCGCGCACACACACACACACACGCACACGCACACGCACAGTGCCACGAGCATGGCTCAGGATCTCACCCTGGGGCCTGCTATGCAGAGCAAGACCGTTCCTAAATACTCGGTACTGGATGTACAAGAACACAACAAGAAACATGGCACGACAACCTCTCTGCGTCTATCTCCCCCCCCATTTCACTGATTATTTTCTCAGATTTGTGCAGGCTAATAAATATTGCTGTTTTCTCCTTGTGACGATTTGTTTTCTTGTCCATTTACCAGATTGAAGATGCATTAGATAATGAAAGCAGCAGGAAATTGTTTTGGCAGCGTGCTTTTATTTGAGTAAATCTCAGCAAAATCATCCAACATTAGATTACTTAGATGATGCTGTGATTTGAATGAGCTAAATCTAAAGTAATCTAAATCTCCTCTAAATCTCTGCTCTTCCCCCCCCCCCCC